ATATATAACAAATACTATATATTTAATTTATATTATCTGAATAGAGATTGTGAACTATTATGGTTATCAAAATGGTAGTCTATTTGTTCTATAAATTAAATTTGATTGGAAATCCTAGATTCTTGAATTAATTGAATTCATAAATTTTCCTAAAATTAATCAGATTTACATTTAATATAGGCTAAAATGTATAACTAAAGTTAATTTATGAGAGTTAATTTTCACATCTTATGGTATTTTATTAGGCTATGTAGTTTCCAGTAACTTTATGTACTAATTTAGTTTCTTAAAAGATATAATTTAATAAATTATCCAGATGAGATAAGGAAATCATTTTCTTATTGTGAAATTCAACAAAAAAGTTATTTATTATTGAATTAAGTTAATTTCCTTCTTCATTCATAATAATAAATTGATAATTTAACAATGATATGCCAGTTTTATTATTAATTTGCAATAATATCAAACAATTTTAGATAGAAAAATTTCTCATCATGATAGTATCGATGAAACTATGTTCTATTTTTATTTTTATTATATTCCGGATACAGAGGGCTGAAGATTTAGTTTTTAGGTTTGCCACAGGATGGTCGAGGCGGTTAAGATGTCAGCCTACCGCTCTGGGGGACCCGAGATCGATCCTGCAAGCAACCAGGAATTTTTCATAAACAGTCTCTCCCGGATATGTCAGGTTTCGTCTCTCATCATCCGACCTGTCATTGTGGACTTGGCCGAACCCAAGATGGATCTGAACTTTTGACTTTCTTTCTCTGTTTGTCTACAGTGTATTATTTATAATTTCTGTTAATTATATATTATTAAAATGTTTATTCTGTAATAAACTTTTAAATTGTATATTATTTATTTCCAATTATTATCGTTTCTTTTGTATTGAAAGTGTATTTTAATTTAAAAGTCCGAGTGCATCTTAAATACCTAATAATATGGTATTTTAATTAAGATAAGAGTCGAAGTTTTTGCTGAGAATAAAACTAATTTTCTTAATGTTATACAATTAATCTTTTTAAAAGTTACGTTATAATTTAAGTAATTTTCCGGAGTGAATTTTAGAGTAACTTCATTCAAATCTGTTATATTGATATATATTGTTTAGTATATTGAATCAATTAGTTCAAGAAACATTAAGAGAAAAATTAAAATTGTACTTATTTTTTGTTTATTATCATTATGTAACGAAACACCCATTAGCTATTAATGCCTGGATTCATCTCCTAAATATATTCCCCAGAAACCTGTGATGTTTAGAGGTATTTACGCAAAATATGTGTTGTTCCAAGTAGTGCAGTCTTCTGTAGCATTTGGATATTGATTCTATCAATCTCTAACTTCATATGTTGTCCTAGATCCCTCGGAGTGGTTCCTAGTATTTTATATAGTGCCTAAAATAAACTTATTGCCATGGCTGAATATAGATTTGCATGATCCTAAGTTATAAATTCTTCACTCAACTAAATAATGATAAATTTAAAAATAAGACACTATAATCTGTAGATTATTTAGCTAATATATAAATCCAGTCCTGTGTATATTTACTTATAATATGTTATAAAGTTTTAATTGATAATAATTTTCATGAAATCAGTTTTCTTGGATTTATCAATTGCCTATATTTTGCAGGAATGGTTAATTATATCCGTATGCAGAACTAGATTTAATTTCATGATACGAATATGATTTGACCTCAGGGTAGACATAGAGAGTTCAAAATTTAGCTTTTTTTATATTAAACACATGATATGACATTGATATAAATTAAAGTTTCTTTTGATAAGTGATGAACAGATCTGTTTTATTGATTTTATTTATACATTTTTGTAGTTTTTAGTAAAGGATGCTACATTTATAATTGGCTAAGGTTCTATATCTCTCTCAGACCTTATCTATACTTTTATATTTTACACTATGAAATCACTGTTTATTTTTATATCAGATATTCTCATCGAAATATCATTTTCTATTTTTTTCTTAAATAGATTTAATTTAATTTTAAATAAGTTTGACTTATCAAAAACGTTTCCACGTTTTCATTATACATTGGAAATTTGAGTACAAAACAAATTATTAGATAATATAATTTTTTTTTATTTAATTTAATATAAAAATTATGTTTCTTAAAATCGTTATCATTAATCGAAGATATTAAAATTATTAAATTTTCATTTTGTATTGATTAAAACTAATTACTAATTTATTTTTACTTAAATCAATCAACATGCCTATAGAAATGTTTCATTATAACTAACACAATATTAACTTAATTATGAATTTAATTAATTTTGAAAATTATAAAGATTAGTCTGTAAAATTATTCTAATCAAATATATAATTTATTTATCAATATATTCTATTGATAAATTAATTAATTTTTTAGAAATGTTCTGATGTGATATTAATAAATTATATAATTAATATTATTACATTAATTAAAATAATTATGAACAATATGAACTGTTTATATGATTTATTTTTTAAATAGCTGGCATTTTCATTAATTTACATCATTTTATATAAATAAAAAAGTTCCACTTACTAAGGATCAAAAATACCATTTATCTACAGTTCAATTTATTTTAAACTTATATTGTTAAAGTTTTCTNGATAACACATCAATAATGTAAACAAAGTTCAAATTTCAAAAATTCCATTTAAATTTTAATAAAATGTTTATAAAAATACAAAAACTTCTATTTTTTTTTAATGGGCAAATAAAGCTTAACAAACAATTAATAATTATATATTAATTATTTGTTTATATATTTTAATATATAATGAAACATCAGATATTCTAGTTGTAGTCTACTTTAGCTATAGAAATATTTTTGCAATTATAAATTTACAGTAAAGAATATAAATAAATATGCATTTTTAAATATTCTAAACTACTTTAGTAAATAATATTTGAATAAATGATATTAATGTTTTTATAAATCAAACTTCCATTTCAGTTTCTTCCACTTTATCCAATGAATCATATTGAAATTTACGGCGAATATTAATTGACATTCTGTGAGCAACGTCGTAAACAAATCTTTTGTTTTTATATACTATAATAGTAATTACCAGAGCCACCATTGCTATGATGATTAAAGTCAAGATGATATAAATGGCTTTCAAATCTGTATAAAAATCATGTGCGAAAAAGCGACAAAGCAGATCATTTGTTGTAAGATTTGATAGAGGACGACCGATATTTTGCGGTGGAAAACCATCCTTACAGTAATAAAGATCCTTAGAAATAAGGTTTGCTTCTGTTGTGGATATCCATTGGAAAAAATCGATCATATTACAATCGCACCGAAATGGATTTTCACTCAGGTTTATCTTCAATTGTGGATATAATTCGAGTTCGGTTAAAGTTTCATTATTTAAATATGAAATATAATTATGACTAAGATCAAGAATATTCAAATGAGGTAAACATTTTATATTAATATTAAATTCAGTGAGATGATTGTCCGACAATCTCAGCTCCCGAAGAGAAGGTAGATCACAAAAGAAGTTCCTGTTTGGAATAGAATTGATTTCATTCTTTTCCAGATTAAGTATCCGTAAATTAATAAGTCTGCTTTGCATGAAAATTTTCTCTAAATTTTCCATGTAGTGGTCACTCCAAATAAATTTTTTGGTGAATGTATTTCTAAGATGAAGCTCTTCCAAGTTCAAAAAATGTCTAAACATCTTAGGTTGATTGTCTTTTCCATTTAAATAAAGATCATTATCGTTCAGTATCAATTTTTCTACGTTATCGACACCGTGAAACGTCCTGTCTTTGATAGTTTGAATTTTATTATTAGAAAGATCGACTATTTTCAATTTATCGTACTTGGCATCTCTTCCAAAAATATATAATGGTAAATCTAGAACATTGTTACCTGTGAATATAAGCACTTCGGTGTCGACGGGCATATACTCCAATATATTAGCATTATCCAAATTAGTATCCGTGCAGTTAACGATATAATAGTTTGTCTCTCTATCAAGATCACATTTACAGTTGCCGTGAAAATTAGCCGGACACAGAGATCTGTCTCTATGCTCGGCCCTGCCTACACTACCAGCCCACAGAAATATCACTAAAATTACCTTGAAATTCCAAACAGGCGATATTTCTTTGATTAAACCCTTCCAGTTCATGTTTAAGTAGAACAAGTGTTGATTTCAAACAAAATTGAAGTTGTTTTAAGTTTATATTCGCTTCAAACATTCCAAAAAGCTGCACATTGATGTAACTTTGTAGCAGAAAGTCGACATAATGGCAGATCTGCCTGGGTCGTTTAGAGAGAACGTGGGCGAAAACCGGTTTGTTAATAGAAGTCAAACAAGTTTTCTTTCTTCCTTTCCTCCCTCCGCTGCTAAAGTACTTTCTTGTTTCCGTTCATAAATAATATACAGTACTAATAATAACAAAAAAAAAGTCTAACCTGACCTGAATATAAAAGATTTATTGATAAATGGCTTGACATCTAAAATTACGAAAATTTTTGATAATTTTTTTAACAATTTTATCCAAGATAAATAAATGAAGAGGTCAATAACATATAATTGCATCGAAAAATATTTTCGTTTATTAAATCTATTTAATATACAAATTTTTGATTAATTTTAATACGGATTAAATATCGCATTTATGTAAAGAAAAATGCATATTATCTAACTCGGAAATTTTTAATTATATATATATATAGGAATCATATATATAGAATATGACACCATAATACATAATATAACAGATATTCAGTAAAAATAGAGCAACAGCAACTGTAACTGGTGATTTTTCGTAACAATCAACGTTCGATTCTGTGCACGGACTGGATTTTAGTGAGATGGCTACAATACGATTGTGTTCTTATGGTGCTTTGGGCAGTTCGTAAAGATCTTGTATATTCGGTGTGATCAGTAAAGCAACAGCAGAAAAGAGTTCTATTAAAATGGCTTCGAAAAACTCCACTGTTTAAATAGAGGGCAATCGGATTCAGACAACTATTGACGAAAGTTAAAACATATCCCACTATCTTCCAAACGTGCCAAAAATCATTATAATCTTCGTTTGAAGTAGAATGGAAATAATACCACATCATAAACACTTGACTGGGAAAAAAACAGATGGCAAATATGACAACGAAAGACAATACAATTTTTGCTATTTTTGCGCGAGTTCGTAATTGTTTTATTTGTCTACCGTTTATACCCAGGCCATTCCGTGTGCTCTCATATAAGTGTCGAGCCATTAAAACGTAGCAGGAACCTATAAACGTTAAAGGAATGGCGTAAAGTAAAAGAAACTTCATCAGGACCATCATCTGTGGATACCAAGGCCACATGTTATGTGGGAAAGGGTAACACACGTATATGACCTTATCGGGACTTATGGATACCTCCCACAAAAACGAATAATAAGCTCCCGGTGTTGCTAAAGCTAGGGCTATACACCAGATGCCTAGGGCAAACAATACCGTGAGAGTTTTGGCGTGTCTTCCCGTATACTTCCTCATGGGTAATACAATAGCGATGTATCTATCCACGCTGAGCATGGTGAGGGTGAGGACGGTAACCGCTACTGACACGTCTTTTAAGAATTCACTCAGTTTACATAGAAATTCACCGTAAGGCCAACTTTCGAACGTGTAAATAGTGCTTATAAATGGCACTGTTCCAACGATAACAGTGAAGTCTCCCACAGCCAGACTCATGATGTAGGTATTTGGAATACTTCGAACAGATTTGTTTCGAACAAATATAAAAATCAGAGTTCCATTTCCAATGATACCCACCAATAACACGACCGCAAAAACTGCAGGTACCACATATGTTTCCAGTCTCTTTTCGTATGGCACGTATTGGTCTGTATCATTTAGAGATTCGTTATCTGGCAATTCCCAACTGGCATTAATGGATGATAGATTAAACACGATGTCCATGCTGAAAATTAAAAATAAAATCATTTAAAACTTTTCAAAATAAAATCGAGTTTTAATAAATTAATCTAATATAATTCTTTACATTAACAACAGATGGCAGTAAAAGGAAAATTTGTATCCTACTGTTTGGAATAGAATTGATTTCATTCTTTTCCAGATTAAGTATCCGTAAATTAATAAGTCTGCTTTGCATGAAAATTTTCTCTAAATTTTCCATGTAGTGGTCACTCCAAATAAATTTTTTGGTGAATGTATTTCTAAGATGAAGCTCTTCCAAGTTCAAAAAATGTCTAAACATCTTAGGTTGATTGTCTTTTCCATTTAAATAAAGATCATTATCGTTCAGTATCAATTTTTCTACGTTATCGACACCGTGAAACGTCCTGTCTTTGATAGTTTGAATTTTATTATTAGAAAGATCGACTATTTTCAATTTATCGTACTTGGCATCTCTTCCAAAAATATATAATGGTAAATCTAGAACATTGTTACCTGTGAATATAAGCACTTCGGTGTCGACGGGCATATACTCCAATATATTAGCATTATCCAAATTAGTATCCGTGCAGTTAACGATATAATAGTTTGTCTCTCTATCAAGATCACATTTACAGTTGCCGTGAAAATTAGCCGGACACAGAGATCTGTCTCTATGCTCGGCCCTGCCTACACTACCAGCCCACAGAAATATCACTAAAATTACCTTGAAATTCCAAACAGGCGATATTTCTTTGATTAAACCCTTCCAGTTCATGTTTAAGTAGAACAAGTGTTGATTTCAAACAAAATTGAAGTTGTTTTAAGTTTATATTCGCTTCAAACATTCCAAAAAGCTGCACATTGATGTAACTTTGTAGCAGAAAGTCGACATAATGGCAGATCTGCCTGGGTCGTTTAGAGAGAACGTGGGCGAAAACCGGTTTGTTAATAGAAGTCAAACAAGTTTTCTTTCTTCCTTTCCTCCCTCCGCTGCTAAAGTACTTTCTTGTTTCCGTTCATAAATAATATACAGTACTAATAATAACAAAAAAAAAGTCTAACCTGACCTGAATATAAAAGATTTATTGATAAATGGCTTGACATCTAAAATTACGAAAATTTTTGATAATTTTTTTAACAATTTTATCCAAGATAAATAAATGAAGAGGTCAATAACATATAATTGCATCGAAAAATATTTTCGTTTATTAAATCTATTTAATATACAAATTTTTGATTAATTTTAATACGGATTAAATATCGCATTTATGTAAAGAAAAATGCATATTATCTAACTCGGAAATTTTTAATTATATATATATATAGGAATCATATATATAGAATATGACACCATAATACATAATATAACAGATATTCAGTAAAAATAGAGCAACNTTTATATAGGAAGACGTGCTATATATATTTTTGTATTAATTATCAATATAAAATATTTAACAATTAATGCAGTTTTATATAAAGTGATTACCATGGATTAACCTTTTTACGCGTTGTCATAATTTACCTCTTCTTTTTCCTTGTTTGAAAGAGTATTATACAATAAATAGAATAATTAAACCTATACAAGGAAACCCAAAAGTCAGTTAACATAACCGTTGTAAGAGATAGTAATTTGCTCTTATTTTGAAATCAATTGTACCAAATTGGTACAGTTGTATATCATTTTTTTTAAACAGAAAAACCCGTTATTTCTAAATTCAGTTTACAATTCATATTCATAAGTGTATCTGAAACACAAAACAAAACATGGTGAACTGACTTTAGGACTTCTATAATTATAGGAATTGAAGTTATAGAATCATTAAAATTTAATTTATAATTACATAAAAATATATCTGAGGTATTTTATTGATATAAAGTAGAAAAATTTCTAACTAGAAGATAATGAACTTTTCTGTTTTGCATAAAAATCTAGAACCTTCATAATCCGTAGCGTTTTTAGCTTCTATAATAAATTACGTGTGAATTTTTCTTCCTTGAAGTCTTGACACAAGACTTATAAACAATCTACATTTAGGAAACAGTTAGAAACATTAGATTCAATTAATCAAAGTGTTAAAAATTGTCTGAAAAACTAGCTAAACGATTAGTTTACTAAACAAAGAATACCCAAAATATAAACTTTTAATGTATAAACCATATGTCTACAAGAGAAGGAAACGCCTTCTATAAAAAAGTATGACCTATTCCAAATGAAACGGAATCACATTTTTGGGATAAGGAGAATAAAACCTGCTATCTAGAAATTAGATTCAGTTATCACGAATAGGCAATTTTTTAAATTTGTTTGGGGGTGAATTTATTTTATACATTAAAGTTTGAATTTTGGTTGTTACTTGTGTATAAAACGCATGTTGTAACGGTCATGATCTTTAATACAGGCTTATTCAAAAAAGACAGCGCAAAAGTAAAGCCGATTTATTCATATTTGAAATGACAAACAGCAGCAGTAATGACATGTAAAGACAAAAGAATTCACCGAGTTTCACATACATATTACAAGTGTTCGATGTAAGCACCGTTAGTGACACGGCGTATGTCTAGTTCTGTTTAAACGCGTTCAGTATATCCTCTGACATGAATTCCATTGCTTCGGAAATGCGTTGTTTCAGATCGTCCAAGGGACGGACATTAGGCTATATCAGTCCCAATGTCACAGCACCTAGTCGAACTGAAACAACGCATCTCCGACAAATATATACTAACTTAGACTAGTTGAATATTAATAAACAATCGAAAATATATTATTTATTAGATGATTAAAGAGACGTTAATTGTCTCTCAACCTCCTACAATGTAAGACAATAGGTTTTCAGGATGAGAGTAAAGATACTGTTAAGAAATAATTAATATACACTATGGTTAAGTTCACATCTATTTTTGTATATAGAATAGTTTTTAAAAAGTACTTTATTTTTATATTTGTGTCGAGATTTAAAGCAAAAAGTTAAAAATTTTAACTTCTAAATATGCCAGACAGAAGTGGAATAGGCTATAGGTTTACTTGAACATGTTATAAATTCATACAGAGCCGGATTTTCACATAAGCTAAACAAGCTACAGCTTAATCTCACGTTATGATTATAACATAGGACCTCATTTTTTATACGTATGTAGTCTATTTAGTAGAGGGGAAGAAGAGCTTGTGCACTTGAAGTGCATTTAGGACTGGTCTTGTAGACTTGTTGTGACCCTAAATTATAACATATTAGGGCCACAACAAATCTATAAGCCCAGCCCTGAATGCTTATCATGTGCACAAAAAAGGATAATCTATCCTGTAGAAAAGTAAAAATTGGAAAAACTTCTTTTCTTACGATGTATTTTATCACTAAGCACACATGATAAATTAGACGCCTAGAAATCCCGACCATTAAATACATGAAAAGTGATTAAATTTTTTATTTTATTGTAGTATTTTCATTTCTACTTTATAAAACTTACAAAATATGTTTTCCCTTATTTTAGACAGTAAAAACTCTATAATAAGCGCACCAGTTGTCAAATATGTCAAAAGTTTTATAGATCTGATTTATAGGCTTATATAAATTTAAGTTTTCATTTTATTTTTCGCCTTTGATATGGTAATAGTTCTGACAAATAAAAGGACTTCAATATTTATTCTATATATAAAAATCAATAAATCAAATTTGCTATTTATTACAGAAATAGTAATCTTTAATTGTAAAGTCGAGAAATTGTATCGAAAATTGCTTGGTTCTGCTAGCAAATTTTAGCCAAACTCTCCATTGAATAAATAACATTGCATATTAATTGGACCTTAGTAATGCAAATATACTGTATAATAAATTGTGAATAAATATTCTATAAAATGTAAATGAACAAAAGTTCTACTTGAAAGTTTTGAAACGATAATATAAATATATCAATTTATATACTTATTATCATACTACAGTCGCTGCTGCTGTCAGCCTTCAGCCATCAAACTTCCAAGAGTGTTGTAATTTTTATAAACAATATTAGTTATATATTTATTAATTAAATAAATAGCAATAATATTTTAAAGTCTAATAGAGAATAATACGTAGTAAGACCAAAGAAAGTGCTGTTATTTAAAACAATAAAAAGCAAAGCTAACAAACATTTTTAAAAGTAAGCAGGTGCTTAAATTAATTGACCAGTCGGAAGCTAAGTTCTTTTGCTTTAATAACTAATTAGTTGTCGGAAATCTGTCGTAAAGCGAACCGTTCTCTTTCCGTGTAAAGTCGATGTCATAAATTCAAATAACGTTCCTGGAAATAGGATTTTAACTATATAATACCGCAGCTAGATGCTCAGCAAAATATACGATATTTCAATTAGTTATAATGGAAAATTTATATAGGAAGACGTGCTATATATATTTTTGTATTAATTATCAATATAAAATATTTAACAATTAATGCAGTTTTATATAAAGTGATTACCATGGATTAACCTTTTTACGCGTTGTCATAATTTACCTCTTCTTTTTCCTTGTTTGAAAGAGTATTATACAATAAATAGAATAATTAAACCTATACAAGGAAACCCAAAAGTCAGTTAACATAACCGTTGTAAGAGATAGTAATTTGCTCTTATTTTGAAATCAATTGTACCAAATTGGTACAGTTGTATATCATTTTTTTTAAACAGAAAAACCCGTTATTTCTAAATTCAGTTTACAATTCATATTCATAAGTGTATCTGAAACACAAAACAAAACATGGTGAACTGACTTTAGGACTTCTATAATTATAGGAATTGAAGTTATAGAATCATTAAAATTTAATTTATAATTACATAAAAATATATCTGAGGTATTTTATTGATATAAAGTAGAAAAATTTCTAACTAGAAGATAATGAACTTTTCTGTTTTGCATAAAAATCTAGAACCTTCATAATCCGTAGCGTTTTTAGCTTCTATAATAAATTACGTGTGAATTTTTCTTCCTTGAAGTCTTGACACAAGACTTATAAACAATCTACATTTAGGAAACAGTTAGAAACATTAGATTCAATTAATCAAAGTGTTAAAAATTGTCTGAAAAACTAGCTAAACGATTAGTTTACTAAACAAAGAATACCCAAAATATAAACTTTTAATGTATAAACCATATGTCTACAAGAGAAGGAAACGCCTTCTATAAAAAAGTATGACCTATTCCAAATGAAACGGAATCACATTTTTGGGATAAGGAGAATAAAACCTGCTATCTAGAAATTAGATTCAGTTATCACGAATAGGCAATTTTTTAAATTTGTTTGGGGGTGAATTTATTTTATACATTAAAGTTTGAATTTTGGTTGTTACTTGTGTATAAAACGCATGTTGTAACGGTCATGATCTTTAATACAGGCTTATTCAAAAAAGACAGTGCAAAAGTAAAGCCGATTTATTCATATTTGAAATGACAAACAGCAGCAGTAATGACATGTAAAGACAAAAGAATTCACCGAGTTTCACATACATATTACAAGTGTTCGATGTAAGCACCGTTAGTGACACGGCGTATGTCTAGTTCTGTTTAAACGCGTTCAGTATATCCTCTGACATGAATTCCATTGCTTCGGAAATGCGTTGTTTCAGATCGTCCAAGGGACGGACATTAGGCTATATCAGTCCCAATGTCACAGCACTCTAGTCGAACTGAAACAACGCATCTCCGAAGCAACGGAATTAATGCCAGAGGATATACTGAACGCGTTTGGACAGAACCAGACATCTGCCGTGTCACCAAAGTGCCTACACCAAACACTTGTAACGTGTATGCGAAACTTGGTGAGTTCCTCTGTCTTTACATATTATTACTGTTAGTGTATGTTATTTCAGATACGAAAAAATTAACTTTAGTTTTGCACCATCTTTTTTGAATAACCCTGTATTATGAGGACTAAAAACAAATAAAAATCTTAATACGTTAAAATATTTATATTTAAAT